CAAGTTCAAGGGCAGTTCGTTCCTAATTGGAGTGGTTGTTGTTTTGGGTAGTTCTAGAGATCGGATTTTACTCAAACTTAACCAAATGACTCCTCCCACCGTATTATGATGTTGCGCAAGTTTTGGGCTCTATCCGAAATCAATAGGTGTAAGAAATTGGACAATTCAAGTTCAAAGGCAGTTCGTTCCTACTTGGAGTGGTTGGTGTTTTGGGTAGTTCTAGAGATCAGATTTCACTCAAAATTTCCCAAATGACTCCTCCCACCATATAATGACGTTGCCCCAGTTTTGGGCTCGATCCAAAATCAATAGGTGTAAGAAATTGGAGAATTCAAGTTTAAAGGCAGTTCGTTCCTAATTGGAGTGGTTGGTGTTTCGGGTAGTTCTAGAGATCGGATTTTACTCAAACATAACCAAATGACTCCTCCCAATATATTACGACGTTGCCCCAGTTTTGGGCTCGATCCGAAATCAATAGGTGTAAGAAATTGGACAATTCAAGTTCAAAGGCAGTTCGTTCCTAATTGGAGTGGTTGGTGTTTTGGGTGGTTCTAGAGATTGGATTTCACTCAAACTTAACCAAATGACTCCTCCCACCCTATTATGATGTTGCCCAAGTTTTGGGCCCGATCTGAAATCAATAGGTGTAAGAAATTGGACAATTTATGTTCAATGGCAGTTCGTTCCTAATCGGAGTCGTTGGTGTATTCCATAGTTCTAGAGATCGGATTTCACTCAAAACAAACCAAATGACTCCTGCCACCATATTATGATGTTGCCCACGTTTTGGGCTCGATCCGAAATCGTTAGGTAGAAGAAATTGGACAATTTATATTCGAAGGCAGTTCGTTCCTAATTGGAGTGGCTGGTGTTTTGGGTTGTTTTAGAGATCGGATTTCACTCAAACTTAACCAAATGACTCCTCCCACCCTATTATGATGTTGCAAAAGTTTTGGGCTCGATCCGAAATCAATAGGAGTAAGAAATTGGACAATTCAAGTTCAGAGGCAGTTCGTGCTTGATTGGAGTGGTTGGTGTTTTGGGTAGTTCTAGAGGTCGGATTTCACTGAAACTTAACGAAATGACTCCTCCCACCATATTATGATGTTGCCCAAGTTTTGGGCTCGATCCGAAATCATTAGGTGTAAGAAATTGGACAATTTATATTCAAAGCTAGTTCATTCCTAATCGCCGTGGTTGGTGTATTGCATAGTTCTAGAGATCGGATTTCACACAAAACAAACCAAATGACTCCTCCCACCATATTATGATGTTGCCCAAGTTTTGGGCTCGATCCGAAATCAATAGGAGTAAAAAATTGGACAATTCAAGTTCAGAGGCAGTTCGTGCTTGATTGGAGTGGTTGGTGTTTTGGGTAGTTCTAGAGATCGGATTTCACTCAAACTTAACCAAATGACTCCTCCCACCATATTATGGTGTTGCCCAAGTTTTGGGCTCGATCCGAAATCAATAGGTGTAAGAAATTGGTCAATTCAAGTTCAAAGACATTTCGTTTCTAATTGGAGTAGTTGGTGTTTTGGGTAGTTCTAGAGATCGGATTTCACTCAAACTTAAACAAATGACTCCTCCCACCATATTATGATGTTGCCCAAGTTTTGGGCTCGATACGAAATCAATAGGTGTAAGAAATTGGACAATTCAAGTTCAACGGAAGTTCCTTCCTAATTTGGAGGGTTGGTGTTTTTGGGCAGTTCTCACTACAAGAAAATAGGCTTTAGTTGACACTTCATAGTTGACGTTTCTTGAAAAACCATCAACTATTCTACAAAGCTTTGACGCTTTTTTAAAAACGTCAACTATATTTCAATTTTTCTTGACATTTGGTAAAAAGTGTCAGCTAATGCAATATAACTTTGACGTTTTTGCAAAAACGTCAGGTAAAAAACCATTTCGTTGACGTTTATTAGAAACCGTCAGTTATAGTTTTAAAAAACCGACAATTAATCTTTTATTTGTTTTTTAATGTAAAGAAGAAAACCCTAAGTACTATGCGGTTCTATTTTTCTCTCCTCCCTTTTCCTTTGTCCCACCCAACCTTTTCTTTTTCTCAAGATCAGTGTCGCACAACTCATCTCTCTGCTCTCAATCTCTCGCTCAATTCTTCTATGCTCTCGCTTAATCATCTTTCCACTCTCACTCTTTCAGCCACTCTAAGCAGATTGCAAAACCCACAAATCAGCATCAACGAGAGCACAAACCCTCTGACTTTCGTCCCCTCTACCAAACGCCAGCTTCATCTCGACCACTTGGACCCCCATAAACATCTGTATCCATAACCATTTCACAACCATCTGCAAAATCACAAAAAAGACCCGAGACCCGCTTCGATCGACAACCTTAGCTTCACCATCGCCCGTGGTGGAACCCATGAAATATGGTGTGGGTGACCGACCCGTCTGCAAACAGAGGAGATGAGATGAAGGATATGGTGTTGGAGAATCTTTCTTGCTTTGGTTGAGCGGCATCTCTGGAATCGAGTTCTTCCTATGTTAACTACAAACTGAGGTGCGTTTCTTCATCTCTTTTTAGAATTTGAGGTCGGTTTCTTTGAAATCTGGACTATTAATACACCAGACTGGATTCGATTTCTTTTATGTATTTGGGTTCATTTTATTTAAAAGTTCAAGTCTGAAAACTGGACCGTTTAATTTTTTCTGTATTTGGATCGTTATCCTAATTGAGTATTTGGATTCTAGTATGGGTTTCCTGGTTCTCATTATTTTTGGTCATTTCTTTCTCTCTCCTAGCCCTGGATGCTAGTAAAAATTATTCCTTAGTGCTGCACTTTTCTATGAATTGCTTGATTTTCATTTCTAGGAATTTGAAGGAATCAATTTCTTGTTTTTTCTTCAATTCCTTGTCTTATTGGTTTTTATGTTGTTCATTTTCGTATTTATTTTTGACTGGGTGAGAAGCTTGGTTCTAGACTTGACTTTGGCTAGTTGTTGTGTCTTACTGTCTACCCAGTTCTTGTGTCTTGCTGTCTACCCAATATTTTGTCGAAAATATTCTCTTCCCTCTGGGTTTCTTTATTGAAGTTAGATTTCGACAAAAAAAGAAGAAGCAAGCACTATAGAAATTTGATTTTTTTGTTGTTGCTAGTGTAATGAAAATGATCCAATCATTGATCCATACGCTAGCTACAACTCTAATTTGGCCGAATCCCTACACTACCAATTTCATTATTTTAGTTTCTTCATATTTTCAATTATTATAATGTTTGGATAATCCAACACTTCAGCCAGAGTATGAATTTCTCTTACATGCCACATTGCTGACATTTTAGATGTGCCATCGTCAGTTTGCCTAGGTGGTTAATTATGGGTTAAAATTTTCTAATTTATATTTCCAGTTTAAGGTTTTAATCTTTGGGCTGTGATTTTTTCAGATTTTCAGTTTGTTAATTTTCATTTGGACAAAGCATATGTAGAAAAAGGTAAGCATTTTATAATACTTTTGGAGTAGTTGTTGATTTAGTTTAATCATCAGCTTTGTTGTTGCACTTTTTAGGCTACCTTCAATAGTTTGGATCATAAGAGTTGTTTGGCTTATATTATCTTTCTATTATAAGAACCTTACTTTATCTTAAATAACCATGAATATATGTATGTTTCACCTGAACGATAAAGTGAAATTTAGGAGGTTCACAAATTTCATCATGATATAAATATATATGTATATCTCTTTGCTCTTAAGTAGTGTGTGTTATTGTTTTCTCAAGAGTTTGAATGAAAGGGGAAGTGGGATTCGTGAATTTAAGGAATGCAAATGCTGACAATCATATGGATAAAGGAACTATTATCAATGTTCCTTAAATATATTTAGTATACGTGTTACAATTAGAGATTATTTAGGGGCAGCTATTATCTCTGTTGTATCTTTTATTCATCGTCTCATTGCAGCATATTTTTGTTGATGCTAAACGTTAACTTTTGGTTTCATTGTACATTTAAGATTTGACGTATACATGTATAGTTTGAAAGCCAATAGTTTGTCATAGAAGAAACTTTCTGAGAATGTGATATTATAGAGAAGTAGAAACTCCACAAAATTCATGTCTTCTCTTCTTGCAGGTCTGTCTATTTGACATGAAGCCACTGAGTAAAACAGGGTTTGCCCTTTCTTTTTATCTATTTGATAATACTTTGTACTAACTCTAAGCTATATAAGTGACACAGAACTGCAGATTTGCAGAGCAGCAATATAAAAGTTCAGATGATCAATTGGAGTTTATTTATGCATGTAATAATACTTAAAAGAAAATATGTATCACTACTTGTTATCTGAAGGCAGCTTTTGGTTTTGACAAGAATCAATCTCAGAGATCCTGATGATGGTGGGAATATGTTCAATTTTCTCCCAGGTATATTCTTTTCTAAAACTTATCTTTTTCCAAATTCCTGTTATTTTTCTTTTTGTATTTCCGAAAATGCAGATTGAGATTTTTCTCTTATGAAAGTCATTATAGAGATAACTGAGGGTTGAATATGGCATACATTACATATTTAGTTTATTGTTTGATTCCTTTGTTGAATGGATGCCAAAATTTTCTTTTAATGCTCTGCTGAAGAACATAAATCTACATATTTAAAGGATTTCCATTGTTCTACCCTCTTACTAAATTTTTGTACCTAACTAGGCAGAAGTATACGGTCATTTCTTTTGTGCACAATTGAGTTCAAAATTTTCTCTGGATTAATTTTAGTCAAAAGGAACAACTACTTATATTTGGCAATGCATATGTGCACGATATGCCATTGGTTGAGGATATTGTCATTTCTTTTGTCTTGCTGATCTTTTTTCATTTTCAGTACATTTTAGTAGATATTTACACACATGTACAGAAAAATTTAACAGCATAGTTAGCTTTAGTTGGTTGTAAAATTAATGCATATCCCTTGATTGCCTAAATACATAACAAGATATGAAACATGCACTTAAGGAGTTTATTGTTACTACCTTGTTGTCAATTGTGGTGGATTCTCTCTCTCTCTCTCTCTCTCTCTCATTCTCCTTGATGCATATTGTTTGACAGATTAATGCGATCACTGAGGGTCATAAAGGCAGACAGAGGCTCATCAAGGAGGCTTCGAATCCGTTGACACTGAATACATTTTGTTTTAGATATAAGTTTTTGGCATATTCAGTTATTGTATAATCTATATTATATTCTGGTTGCAACGAATATTTTTAATGTGTTTTCAATATTATTTGTTTTTAATGTGTAACATTTATTGTATATTAAATTAGTCTATTTAATTATATTATAATGGATGTACAATTTCCTTTTTTTTTTTAATATTACCCTTTTGTTTCTTGACGGCTAAAATCCGTCAAGAAAAGAGCTGATAAGTGTCAACAAAAGGTACGTTGACAGTTTAAAAGCGTCAAGGTTGACTAAGAGTTGACGGTTTTCACAGAAATATGACGCTTTTAAGCTGTCAACAAAATCCTTTCCTTGACGGATAAAAAGCGTCAAGTATGAGGGTACCCTTTCGTGACACTGGCATCCCTGACGCTTTTTGAGCCGTCAACTAATGGCTTTGGTGACACTTTTTAGCCGTCAGCAAATGGTGTTTTTCTTGTAGTGTCTAGAGATCGGATTTCACTCAAACTAAACCAAATGACTCCTCCCACCATATTATGATGTTTCCCAAGTTTTGGGCTCGATCCGATATCAATAGGTGTAAGAAATTGGACAATTTATGTCCAAAGGCAGTTCGTTCCTAATCGGAGTGGTTGGTGTATTCCACAGTTCTAGAGATCGGATTTCACTCAAAAATAACCAAACGACTCCTCCCACCAGATTATGATGTTCCCCAAGTTTTGGGCTCGATTCGAAATCAATAGGTGTAAGAAATTGGAAAATTCAAGTTCAAAGGCAGTTCGTTCCTAATTGGAGTGGTTGGTGTTTCGGGCAGTTCTAGAGATCGGATTTTACTCAAACTTAACCAAATGACTCCTCCCAATGTATTACGACGCTGCTCCAGTTTTGGGCTCGATCCGAAATCAATAGGTGTAAGAAACTGGACAATTCAAGTTCAAAGGCAGTTCGTTCCTGATTGGAGTGGTTGGTGTTTTGGGAAGTTCTAGAGATCGGATTTCACTCAAAATTTCCCAAATGACTCCTCCCACCATATAATGACGTTGCCCCTGTTTTGGGCTCGATCCGAAATCAATAGGTGTAAGAAATTGGAGAATTCAAGTTCAAAGGCAGTTCGTTCCTAATTGGAGTGGTTGGTGTTTTGGGTAGTTCTAGAGATCGGATTTCACTCAAACTTAACCAAATGACTCCTCCCACCATATTATGATGTTGCCTAATGCTCGATCCAAAATCAAGAGGTGTAACAAATTGGACAGTTCAAGTTCAATGGCAGTTCGTTCGTAATTGGGGTGGTTGGTGTATTGGATAGTTCTAGATATCCGATTGCACTCAAAAGTAAACAAATGACTCCTCTCACCATATTATCACGTTGCCCAAGTTTTGGGCTCTATCCGAAATCAATAGGTGTAAGAAATGGGACAATTCAAGTTCGAAGGCAGTTCGTTCCTAATTGGGGTGGTTGGTGTATTGGGTAGTTCTAGAGATCGGATTTCAATCAAAATTAACCAAATGACTCCTGCCACCATATTGTGATGTTGCCCAAGATTTGGGCTCGATCCGAAATCAGTAGGTGTCAGAAATTGGTCAATTCAAGTTCAAAGGCAGTTCGTTCCTAATTGAACTCGTTGGGGTATTCCACAGTTCTAGAGATCGGATTGCACTCAAAATTAACCAAATGACTCCTCCCACCATATTATGATGTTGCCCAAGTTTTGGGCTCTATCCGAAACCAGTAGGTGTAAGAAATTGGTCAATTCAAGTTCAAAGGCAGTTCGTTCCTAATTGGAGTGGTTGTTGTTTTGGGTAGTTCTAGAGATCGGATTTCACTCAAACTTAACCAAATGACTCCTGCCACCATATTATGATGTTGCCCAAGTTTTGGGCTCTATCCAAAACCAGTAGGTGTAAGAAATTGGTCAATTCAAGTTCAAAGGCAGTTCGTTCCTAATTGTAGTGGTTGGTGTTTTGGGTAGTTCTAGAGATCGGATTTTACTCAAACTTAACCAAATGACTCCTCCCACCACATTATGATGTTGCCCACGTTTTGGGCTCGATCCCAAATCAATAGGTGTAAGAAATTGGAGAATTCAAGTTCAATTGCAGTTCGTTCCTAATTCGGGTGGTTGGTGTATTGGGTAGTACTAGTGATCCGATTGCACTCAAAATTAACCAAATGACTCCTCCCCCCATATTATCACGTTGCCCAAGTTTTGGGCTCTGTCCGAATTCAATAGGTGTAAGAAATTGGACAATTCAAGTTCAAAGGCAGTTTGTTCCTAATTGGAGTGGTTGGTGTTTTGGGTTGTGTTGTGTGGATTTCAGCTGCACCAAAATGGATTCAGCTGCATCCTCAACTTGTGATACTCGCAAGTGCACGAACCGTTGGTAGTTTAGCGTATGTAAGTGCGAGGTCGATTCCACAGGGATTGGTGATTGAATGATTCAATTCATTTTCCCTACACAAAACAGAAATGAAAAAGAAGGGAAAGAAATAAAATAAGGAAGAAAGAAAATAACTAACTCAAGCAGATAAGTTCCCAAGTTCAATTAAATTAACGGATTGATTCATGAAGAATTCTGCCTCATCCGAGCTGTGTAGGTTTCTGAAACAAAGCTTGCAATATGACCTACGGAACTGGACTGGCAGGGGGCTGTAGCCAAAATGAGTTTGTCTTTAAGCACTTCTTCCCTTTATCCAAATCAGGCTTTAACATGCATGGATTGCATCATTTCCTATCCAAAGCCATCATTGTTACCTAAAGCTGAAAGATAAACACAAAAAGGATTAAAAGCACAAGTTTAACTCAAAAACATAACCAAATCATAAGCTAGAAGGGTACAAAATGATATACAATTATGAACCGATCAAATACCCCCAAACCTAGATTTTGCTAGTCCTCGAGCAAAACAACACAAAACAAAGTTAAAAACAAAACATGTTCAAAGTGTATTAGTGTGATAGCCAAATGCAACAAATTCCCCAATCTTAGTTTTCACACAATTTCAAAAATCATACCAAACACAAATGCAACTTCAAATCTCACCAAAGTTGTCCTCTCACAAATGAATCA